TGCCCGCTATTAACCCTTGTAAACAAAGGTCTTGGGACGCCTTCTGGGGTATATTCATTAGTGATGCAAAATACCAAAGCTCTGTATGTCCTTGGCTGCATGTTTGTGCTTAAAGTTGCTAGATACAGCATCAAGTACTAAATACATCTGACTGGCAGCCACGACAAAATCCAAGGCAGAAAATAAGGTCTGATTGATTGAACATGTATGATGCACTGTGACTTCTAGAAGTGTGGATGGATAAGGAAGAGCTTCTACTCTGTTGACATTTTTCTTTTTCCATTATCTCAAACATTCTGCAGTAGAAATTGCATACCTGCAATTACAATTACAACTAATTGATCTGCCATTTCCCATGTCATAATTAATGCCATGTTTTAATAGTTATAATCATTCCATAATAATGCTTTTCATTCACCAGCTTCCCACAAAGTATAAAAGTATAGTGCACAAAAGCAATGAACTTTTATGAGGCTCTTTCAAAAACATCCCAAAAGGAACATCTCGGTGTATTACAATGAACTTTTTAAATATGCTTCTGTATTCTTATCTGAGCTGCAATGAAATACCATGCAAAAAAGACTTTTCACTCTGGCATTCCTCCTTCCCTGAACATCCATAGGTGAAAAATGAAATCAATGATTCAGTGACAAATACATTATGTTTCCTAAGGGGTTATTTAATGTACTCTTAGCAAGGATGGAAAATGATGGTTTCTAGAGAACAGATGGTAACAAGACAAAATATCAACAGACCACAGTTGTTGACTGCAATTTATGGAGTGTACAGATGTGTCAACTTAAATGCAGTGATTCTGAGGCCAATAAAAGTACTTCCTGATACCAACAGATTAATTTTTCATGACCACTGGTTACACAGCTATTACATTTTTAAAAACTAATTATTCATCTACAAAAGAAACAACAATTTTGCTTGAACGTCATTACTATAAAGTAGAATGTTGTTCTTGCTGGCAAAAAAAAAAAAAAAAAAGGCATGACAGGATTGGTTACAAGTTTGCACATCTTCCTTTCAGAATAAAATTTCCTTTTTTTTTTCCATAAAGAATATTCCAAAGAAAGATGAATGCTAGCAGCCAACTCAGATTTAAAGTAATAGTATGCAATAAGGAGATCCCACTTCCTAGCCAAATATGAAGCATGCTTACAAAAGGGCCTTTTTTCCACCCTTTAATTTAGCAGGATGAATAACAGTGCTTGTGAAGGTTGCAAGGCACTGGTAGTGCCTGAAGCTGCAGTCCCCTATTTATTATCCATTGCCACATTAACTATGCAGACAGTCTCTCCCATGCTGCTCTGTAAGACTAAAGATACATGACTGCCAAAGCCACATATCTCAGAACCTTCATCAATGAACAGGTTTAGTTCTAGATCTGATCCTTGTAATCTGAACTCATTTTCATCTTGTCTTATATTTCAACTTGGAGAAGTATTTCACCCTTGGTCCCCGCCCTGTATAGGCCTAACTCAAATTTACCTAAGGATTGGTTCTTTACTTGTCTAGAGTAAGAAAGGAGAAGGCAGCTCTACTTTCCAAATTGCCCTGTTCTAACACAGAGATAAATTCAAAACCAAGCACTTTACAACAGTGATACCACAAAATAGCCCACTAAATAGACAATGTTAAGTTAGCTACAGAAAAGACAATAAAAAAAATTCTCCACTGTATCAAATGGGAAGATAGTTTGTTACAGGTTAAACTGTCAAAGGAGACCTCACCTCAGCTGCCATGTAGCCTTTGGGAAATAAACTGCAAAAGCATCTAACCAGAGGCTAAACCAGCAGGAAAGCACTGCAGGTACTGCAGCACCCAGAAGAGAGAGTCAGACTGAAATCAGACAGGGCCACCCATTCCCCCTGTCCAACTCAGGGTGCATGTGTATGAAAGCAATGCACCTTCCTCCAGAAGCATGGTAAGGACTCACTGAAATCCCTCCCTTTCAACACTGCGGCATACACAAAGCAGGACAGAGGCAGAGACTGAAGAGGAGCTGCAGAAATCACTTACACCAGAACTGAAAAATGTGTTTTGATTGTATTTTCTCAGCTCAGTACTGATCAACTGTTTACCCCACCTAGCCCAGGACATGCTGTTTTAACCTCTGCTTCTCTCCATATCACCCTTCCAGCTTCCTCCTCCTCCATCACTAAACTCCTTTTTTGCTTCCCTAATTCTCTCTTTTCCCAAGTACAATATAAATTTTGTATTTAAATTGTGGCAAACATTTACAGTGTTATTCCCTTGATTTATGTTTTTATCCTTTCTACCCCTTATCTTTTTATTTTGACCAGAAGCTATTGAGAGCAGGCTCTGCCACCACGTCCTCTGTTTTGTACTGTTTGTAGAGCACTAAGGCTCCATTCCAGTTGCCCTATAAGCACAATCATAATAAACATTATTAATAGCAACAGCGTATTCTCTACATCAGCAACCTGGCATCACAGATTATGTACCTCCACAAAACACAGCAGTATGCACAAACTGAGAAGCTGACACCAATTTGGCTGATTCTTCTCCCTCATTGGTTTTATAGTTGTATAAACCCCACTTCAGCGGAGTTACTCCTGATTTAAAGTAGTGCAAGCAAGAGGAGAAAGTCCTCTATTTCTGGCAGATAAATAAAGAGCTCATAAAATGGAGCACACAAATTCAGAGGTCAGAGATGAGATAGTACAGAACAAGCTCACTCTTATGCAAAGCTCAGTTTTGCACCCCTGATTTTTTTCTTCTCCAGCTTCTTTAACCTGTGCACTGTCTGCACAGAGAGTTCTGGAAAACGAAATCCTTTGCAGAGCAAGCAACAGCAACGGTGGCACAAGATACGCTGTACTATGTAGCAATCTCACTACTTCATAAGCTAGAGCAGACATAAATTACTTCAGGATACTTAGAAGCCAAAAGAGCAAGTTTCAAGTCATACGATCAAAACATCAATAGCCCTAGCTTGGACTCATTTCTTTACTATGCAGAAGTAAAGGAGAGTTTCACCTACCTGAATCATATGCAAAATCTCTAGGTTCCTGTTTAATCATCAGAGGAGGGGGGAAATTTTGACTGGCTGCACTGCCAACCATAGCATTGTGTTCATAAACTGGATCGTGGTACTCCTGCTTAAAACCTTGAGGCGGGAAAGGGATGTTTGGCTCAGACATCTGGCGCTGATATATTGGACGTCCTTCCCTTGGCATTGCAGGCAAAGGTGGGAAAGAATTGCAAGGTTCAGAGAGCTGGCGGCGAAATCTAGGACACAAGTCAGAGAGGTCATGTAAAGGACTTGAGCTACATTCCATTTCCCAAAGATCTTCACAGGTCATGATTAGTGGATGTATCACTTTCTCAGTAGCAAACATGTTGCTTATGATAATGCCAGGTGCTCCCATTAGGATCCCTTGCATTGTAGAACAGTAACAAGCAAAGAAACAAAAAACCCCACCTATTCATACCAGCTCTAAGACCTGTCTCCACCACCATCCTCTTTGCTTTCAGTATCTTCTCTCAACAGAAGAGGCAAACAGGAAATGCACCAGCTTCAAACCAGTAGAAAGACTGACATCATACCAGAGTAATATGAAGGAAGCTTAGGTAGAGTTCTCTGTTCTTTCACAAGTACTCTAATTTACTCTTACCATTCTTACTGTTACACGGAAACCATTCTGACCACAACAAACAACCATTTCAAATAAAGAGTATTCTCTGCTGTAATATCTGGAATCATTCCAGGGTAAAAGTTCTGTCCTCTCAGGGACAGCGCCATGGGAGATCTACCTGCAAGGCTGGCACTGCATTCCAGCTCTAATGAGAAGGGAATGTAAGCACCCCAGAAAAAGGAGAGGGTGCAAACTTTTGCTAAGAGAAACAATGCCTAAGGTTTCCCCTCCTGGCTTAACTTGTTCCCTTGGTCATTTCTACATGAAAGAAGTCATCCATACAAGCCACGCTGCCATTCACTACTCCCAAATGCTCTTCAGTAGGCATAAAATCTGAGAATTCAGCTTTAAATTAACTTCATTTACATGTAACACTACTCGAGAACCTAGGCTTGTTGTTTCTTCCATAAAACATATCTACTTGAACTAAAAGGCCTGAATGTAATTACTTGGTCATCTGCAGGTTCAGAAGCATAGAGAAGAATACAAGGATGTTATTTTCCCACCGTGCCCCGATGAACTGCACAAAGTCTTCCTGTCATCTCCTGCAGATTACCACAGAAGTGGTAACCACCACTGTAGTAATAATACTGTGCCTGCACTAATCCACAGCAGATGCAACGTTCTTGCAACAAACTGCTTACTAGTCCTGTTATCACTCATCATGAACAAGACACACTTCTTAAAAAAAAGAAAGAAACCTGTGTCTTTCTCTGTAAGTTTCTCAGAAAAATGAAGAAAAATGAAGAACTAAACATTCTTCAGCTTCCTGTACTTTGGATCTGAACTGACTGTGGTTCACACAAGCAAAAGCAGACATCCTCTTGGAGAAAACTGGGTGAGTGAAGAAGAATGCAAGGGTTTGATTGCACAGGCAATACAATCCTTGACTATCAACTCATATGTAGTACATGTTTCTGAAACAATTTAAACTCCACTAAGATCTGTCATAATACTGCTGTGAACTTGGTCTGACAAATATTTACCATCATAGCTTAATTACAAGTACTGTGGGAGTTACAGAGATAGAAACTATTACAGTGTAGTAGTGGAGACAAAATGAATTTTTTTAATGATGCTGTAAATATTATATTTTGCAGTAGAAAGAGTACTGCACTGTAACACTGGCTTTTGCAATTCCACCTACACCTGCAGAAAATAAACTTAGAAACTCAAATGTATTATGAAACAGTTAGGCTGACTGGCACTGCATTCATTTCCCTCTTTTCCTTTTTTCATTAGCCAAAAAAAGAAGCAGAAATTATCATTAAGAACTGTCAAGGAGTGAATCAGAAAATTGCAACTTGAAGTTAAAATAAGAAACAGGCTCACTCACAAAGCCTCAAAGGAAGTTAATAATACTTGTTGTACTGGAAGCTTTGTATGGAATCAAGCCATTTGTTTATACAAGTGGATTTGATTCCTGTTGGTACTTGTTAGGACCACTTATCGTTCATATATTCATGCCCTGTATGAAGATGTATGGGCTGTATGTTCTTGATACTAACGCTATCTTATGCCACCAATGCATATTCCAAAGAAATATGCCTTGAGTTATAGATTTATATATGAACTCACGTAGGTCGGTCATTTGTTTAAGTAACATTTTCTGAATACACTCATTGTAGTAGCATATCACCTTGTAAATCAGGAAGATTTGAATTTCACAAAAATATGAAGTACACATTTGCTTCAAACAACTGGAAGTGAGAAGATTCAAAATAAATAAGAAAATGGGGAAAAATATCTTCCACTACAACTGTACCTTTCTTTAAAAAAAAGAGAAAAATGAGATTTTTTTGGCCTGAGTCAGCTATTTTGGACTTCACTAGAACACATGATGTTCTATCACGGAAGGGAAGCATTAGTGCAAAATGCCCTGAAGAACATAAATATCAAAGACAGAGTGGGGAAGGGGAATCATATAAAGAGCCTACAAAGCTTGTGCAGAGCAAGTGTTATAGGCATAGAAAAATATACTATGGTGTATGCAAATCTCTATAAATACTCAAATTAGGGCTGACATACAGCTTCAGTACTCTACAAGTTGCTCTAAATCAAAAGATTTTTTCATCTGAAAAATCTTATTACTGCTCTCTGCACAGAAGCCATTTAGCTTCTGGAGATTTCAGTCTCCTGACAACTTGACTTTGGTGTATATACAAAAACACATTTATCTACCATCCTGTAATCAAAACCGTTGCTTGGCTTCACTGGGGGCCTGCGTGGTTAGACCACAGTCCACGGAGGGAGAAAAGACGGGGGACTATGGCAGCTGAAGGGGCCAATTCAGTGTTTCCTCACCACCAGGAAGGCTTGTAGAGAACCTTGGGTGATATTTAAAACTATCTTAGCAGAGCACAAAACAGCAATATAAACTTTAGTAACCCCCTTCAGAAGTGATCTGCACAAATCCCTGGAGATAATAGTCCTTATTAGAGCAGAAGCATGCAAATTGCACTCCCAACAACTGTGATTTTCTTTTCAGGTGCTTCTTAATTTGCTAATGTTTAAGCGCTAAGTTGAGTTTCTGGACATATATGTCTTTTTACATACAGCTGAAATTTTAAATGCTCAGGGCAATCACACAACACAGTAGACAAAAACAGGTTCATGCAATAAAGGTTAGAATAAATAGAATTCCACAAACAAGTGTTTGGTCTCAAAAATCAGTGAAATCCACCAAGCATATCTGTTGCAAAACTGAGCTAAGAAAGATAGTCAGTTGTCTGGGGATTTCTAACATACCAAAACAAAACAGGGTGACTTAAGGATAGTTTAAGCTTTAATTCTAGTCTCTAGCTCTTGTGGCTTTTACTCAGACTAATGTTATTTAAGCACAGTTTATGTTGGCATCTTAGTTTGCTTGAAATGCTATATTTTAAAAGGGGCTGGAAAAATTATGCACCCTTCCAAAGAATATTCTGAAGCAGTAACACCATAACATGGCTACTTATCTCTTAGATAGGTGAACTGCTTAGCAAGAGGCCAGATATTTATAGCCAGGATCATGCCTGCTAGCGACATCATTACCTCGTAGGGCTTACTAGCCTCAAGTGAATCACAGAACCATAGGATAGCCCAGGTTGGAAGGGACCTTGAAAGACCATCTGGTCCAACCTTTCGTTGGAAAGGGAGCCTAGATGAGGTTATCATCTAGCACCCTGCAATCTCCCTCACAAGACAGAAGAAACAGGTCATTAAAACTCTGTTGCTGCCAATATGAACTCCTACTGAAGTCCACCAAGTTGGGTGCCAGCCTTTCATAAAACGCACATACTTCTGACACTTTGAACCTTGCCAGCTTTCACCTTGGTCCCCCAACACAAAAGGGAATAGTTGTGGGCAGGAAGCCAGTGCTACCCTACCTAAGAGACTTGCAACCACAACTGAAACGCTTTCTGCATGGGTCCCTCACGTGTTTTGTATTTTACCTGTGGTCCATAGGGAAGCTGTTGTCTTGAATGGACTGGGATGGAGGGAGATGGGTAGGGAAAACCCGGTCAGGTTTAGGAGTCTGAGCTGAGTTTGGGGAGGCATGGTGCAGCGGTGACACAGGAGTGCTGGATGGCGTCGGTGGGTTGGAGGGCCTCATTCCCACTTGTGGCTTCTGATCATAGGCACTATCAGTAAGGCAAGAGGAAAGAAAGTCAGGTTATTTTATCTGAAAAAAAAAAAAAAAAAAAAAAACATCCAGAAAAAAAACCTCCAAGTGTTACATTTATAAGCTTTTTATTATAGTCACCTTATTAGCCAGTTTGGAGAGGAATTATCTACTTTACATTGCGAAGAGCACAGAAAAAATCATGTTAGGGGCAAGTGGTTCAACACAGCATTTTCTTCTCTGGGGCACAGAAATGTATTTTTAAAGGATTCAGTCTTACAGTGACATTCTAACAGCAGTTATACAAAATACATAAAAGTAGAAGCACCTGGACTAGAGCACAAAGAGCCAGCAGTGCCTGTCAAGACTCTTTTTAGAGCTTGCACAAACCACAAAGTGAGACAGTAAAACAATACAGCTAGAGGAAAGGGATCTGACCCAGAAAAACAATGGTATGTTGGCTTAGCTACCCACACTAGGATGTCAGCAGCCTCTCCCAACAGTTCCACCCCACCCCCACCCCCACCCCTCAAAAATAAAGTGCTGGTCCTGCAAATACATAGATGCTATTTTCAAAGGTGTCCCAAATCAGGAAAGACATGAGCACACTTTGATCATCCCTCTTTCTAAACAGGAAAAATGCAGACATTAGGCAGATAGTAAGCACGAACTTGTATACTTTCCTGTCAGGTCCCCTAGCACCCATCAAATCCACCAATGTATGCATTTGATTTTTGAAATAAAAAATCACTCCTCTATGACTGGCAAAGGTGCCAGTCTCCAGCCCCCCCCCCTTCCATATCAAAAAAGTTAAATGTAAATGCTTTAAGTGCTAACAGTTTTCATAGTACATTAATATGAATAAAAACTCACAAGCTGGATGAAAGATTCTAAAATAGACTGAAAGGTCAATAGGAAACCCTTCACTGCTGACACTAAAGGAAGGAGTGACACGTAAGTGCAAACCAAAAGAAAGTCAATAAAGAATGCAGTGGTATCAAACCCCTCCACTGCCCACAAATAAATAAAACTTTTATTATCTATCCCTATAAAAGAAGACAACTTGCTTTTGAATAGGTAACAAAGATGCAGAGCCTAATGAAATACTATTTTAAATTGTAATCACCCACGAATACCCACATATAACATCTGCAAAACTTGTCAAATACCTAATGTGTTGCTCAGACCTGCCAATCTCTTGCCTGTTACACAGATCTCTCTCTCTTTCCTAATGTGTGTAATGCATTTTGAAAGTACTTTCAACACAACTTCCAGAAAACAAGACACTCCTTCCTTCTATTTCACGCTAGCACCCTGGCTTTTTAAACTCTGGCTATCTCCCATGGAGAAGGAATGGAGAATATGCATTTTGATGAAAAACACTGCTTTAAAATGGTTATGTAAGTGTTTGATACAACTGTAAACAACTCCATCAGTGTTCATCAGCTAAATGCATTATCTCATCAGTCTGTTATCTGCTGAAGAGGTAACTTTTATAAGATCTCTATTATGGTTTTATTACTCTTTAGTCAGTCCTCATTTAAATCAGCAGTTCTCACTGCACACATGCTCCTGATTGCTTTACCTGACATTGTACAGGCACTTTTCCCCATAACTGAACTTGAATGGTTGTTCTTGACTGCAAGCGGAGCCAAGTTCTGAACATGGGCTATGGGGTTCCTTCTTGATTTTCACAGGGAGACCATGAAAAGCCACTGGAAAGAGAAAGAAAATGTAATTAAAACCCAAGTACAATATTAACAATGAGCCTTCTCAAGTAAGCTAGACACTGCTAATTAAACACATGATTAATTAAACCATTGTAATACTAAAAACAATATAGGAAATAAACATTTCAACTATTTCTTCGGGTGTCAACTGAAAAATAGACACCAGAGATCCTTCGCATTGGCTATTAGCACTTTTATTGTTTAATAGAATGATGGCCAGGATCCCATCTCATTAGCAGGAAAATAACAGCCCACTTATATTTGGCTTAACTACTGTAAATGTTGTCAGAGGCAAAATACTTCCCAGGCACCAAATGTTTCTAAGTAGTATTAGTGAGGTAGCTTTTAGCTATAAATGCAATAGTAGTTCACTTCAAAGAGTGCCACACAAATGACTCCAAAACAAATTTCTCATATATCAGCCTCAAGTATATGATCAGTAATCTTTTTGTCCCACAGAATGCATGAAAATTTGCACTGAAACTTATGAAACTGGATGATTACATGCACTTTTAGTTATACGTAACGTCGGAAAAAAAATACACAAGAAATGGCTTCAGTAGTTTTTCTCAAAAATACAAAAGATAAAATCCTGGCCTCACCAAAGTCAATAGTAAATGTGATATAGACATAAATTGAGAAAAAAAAATTAATCGTACTTTCTTAAAAGATAAAAAGAACAGAGGGAGTGCGACAGAAATGCAGCTTTAATTAGAAGCACAAGTTGGTCTGGATTGAGAAAAAGGCCAAAGGAAAAGACAAGGTTCACCAGCATATTAGTTTAAGCCAGCCAACTTTCTTTATTTCCTATCCAACCTTAACCAAAACTAAAGCAGAAGAAAATTCAAAGTTCACCTGACATAGACAAATCTAAAGTAAGTGGCTAGGAGGACAAAGGACTAAAAGACAGGTATGTAACAGCTTGAAAACACACCCTTCAAGTTTTAAATAAAATGAGGTTGTAAATACATTTTTGAACTCTGAGAAGCCTAGAGTTCAGAGACCAATTTTATCACTGATTTTTGATGTTGTCACCAAAACACCGTAGTTTGAACATCACGCTCCAGCCTGACACAGACACTTGCGCCTCTGTGGAAATCCACATACGTGCAGCAGTCCCTGTTAGAGAACCTCGGCACAAAATCAGGCCATTGTTATATACCATCAAGTAGCACCTTGCCCCTTCCCTTGCACCTGAACTTAGGAAAGACAATTTGTTACACACTATATATTTTCTGATACTAATGCACCTGCATACACATGCATGTGTTCGGTGGGGAGCCAGGGGTAAACGAAATGCTGTCTAAGAAGTGAGCATCAGAACCAATAAGCTGATTTATAAGTATCTGTAAGATCTGGATTCCAGATTCTCATCCCGTGTTTTTCCACGGTTGGGCAACATTCAGAGAACTCTTTCACAAACGGGTCCTCTCATACCCTATTACATGACAGCTTCTACTATTGCCTTTCAGCTGCGACATCTGCAAGATAGCACTATGCTATTTTCCCACATATTTTCACAAAACTCACAGGAATTTCTAAAACTGCTATGCAGCTATTGTATTTGGTGGATAATAGTCAATTATCTGGAAAGATTACAAAGAAAAAGCAGACAGTAAAACAGGTACACAAATACATACGCACAGCACAGTAACTTAAGAAACAGAGGTGAAAAGTGGTGAACATCACAACAAGGAAAGAACTCTTTCTGAAAAAAACTGTCTGAACTTGCACTAAAATAAAAGACCATACGGACTTCTTGAATAAAGATTCTCAAATTTAGTAATAGGGCAAGATGCAGCCCAGTCAGCTTTCCACCGTAATCGCAAAGCAGGCTGACATCCAGTAGTTTGTTTCAGGTTTTTGCTAGTGAACTTTTACTGCTGACTCTCCTTGCACGTCTTGGTCAGATAATGCACACAGCACATTTAACGGGTATGATGGGCCCCACAACTCCAGGACGGTGGCTCCGACACAAAGGTAGGCAATCTCTTTGACTTAAATCAGAGAATTAAAACACAACTGCAACAAGACTCTTTTAAAGCCAGTATCACATATTCGCACAAAGACCACATGCTGCTCTATTTTTTAATTTTTTTTTATTTTAACTTTGCTACTTCCTCGGAGTTAATCTGTTATGAAAAATTACTTCCCTTATTTATTTTTAAATAACGGGAGTACAGAGACTCCCACACCACAGCCCTGTGCGGAGAACTGGCTGGGTATTTCATCACAGCGCTGAGAGCCTGAACGTCTGCTAACAGGCAGTTTTCCAGCTCACTGGCACAGGCACAAGTGAAAGCAGCACATTCATTTTGTGCAATTTGCTTTACCTTCCCACATGGAGTTGGTGCATGTAAAAGGCTGTTAAGTACTAAATTATTCCTTATCAAATCACCATCATCTGGAGTCATGATCAACACTAATTAAATTACTTTCACTGAACACGGCTCCAGCCTGCTGCCTCGGCTGCGAGGTACATTTTATTTTGCTTACTGTACAGTCCTAGCAAGGTACAGGGCACAGTGCTAGAAGGCATCTGTGCTGTAGTTTTAATTAAAGTTTACCTCACCTTCCTCCCAGCTTTATAAGCTAGGGTAAAGTGTATCAAATCAAGTAGGTTAACGCCTTCATTTCATTTAGGGAAAGCATTACAGTCCAAAGTGATTTTATATTAGATCTTTCTCTTAACTACGGCCAGAAAGATAATGTAGCTGTAAAATTTAAAGCCTTCCTCGGGCAGACCCCTGACACAGTCACCATGCTAAGCTTTATCTGTAACTCCTTAAGTGTACACTTTTACAGGCAGAAAGGAAAAAAAGATAGCCTGAGAAAAATACTTACTGCATTTTTGGGGGGCATTTCTTGAAGGTTACTTGACCTTTCAAACCACATCTTAAGTGTGGCTGAAGATGACAGACTTATTCCAACAGTAAAATTTCAAACATTCAAAACAGTTCTCGTGTGAACACTGAAACCCTCCACCCCGTCGTTCTTCGTTTTAGTGTGATACTCATTTTATAGTGCACCTTTTAAAACAGATTTTAAATATACACCGTTTTGCTAAGCTGGATTTTATATTATGTTTTCAATCCGTTTTCTTTTCAGGAGAGCAAGGTTGCTTATTTATACAATCTAATTTTAGTGCAGCATACCAAGCTACCAACACATCCAAATTAACAAAATGACATTTCAAACAACCAGCTCCTCACCGCTTCTTTCTTCCTGATGGCAAATTCATTTTACTTAACCCCAGAACAGAGTCTCAACCCTATTAAAGTAACGGGCACTCTGCCTTAATAACGATCTTATTAAGAAGTGACCAAGGGCCAAGATTTCATCCCGAGTGATTACTTACAGATAACTACCTCCAAACTTGAAAGGCAAACAATCTTACAACGTGTATTTAGATGGATGGCTTCAACACCTCATCTCAGCTACTGGGGAAATCAGGCTTATCGGTATCAGAACGGACTCAATCCGCAGACCCTGTCTAGAGCTCCTCTAAAGCCAACATGCAGATATAAGGCAAGCAGAAGGACTGCTACCATCTGTAGCAAATTGATTAAGGTATAATATATTACTGTATGCATATTCTCTGTGCATAAATACATCTATCTGTATCTGCAGAGTAAGAGGGCTTGCATAATGTGCTGTTGTACAGACCTAGATTTTATACAAAACAATAATAATTTCACCATGAAATAAACTCACACAGAACATGCAAAAACACAGGGTGAAACCTGCTACCGCTCGTTTTGAAGTGCTGTTCTCCTTTGCTATCTGTCAACAGCCTAATCCCCAAACATTTTGTTCATAACACCCAGTTTGAGACCCAAACAAAGAATACTTTTATTAAGAACTCTGAAATTAAAGGAGGAATCGGTTTGTCTTAGAGGAGACTGATTTGTACACTTTCTAGCCTGAGAAACAGGAAATGTACCACCTCTGTACAGATAGAACTGAAATCACTTCTTTTGAGAAAGCCCCAGAAATGCACTGCATCAAATATAAAAGCAATGGTTTAAAATATTTTTCAGTTCAAGAGATGATTATTCAAGATGAAGAAGAAATGAGGAATATTTTACATGAAATTGCAAGTCACTTCTCCTTTGAGCAAGAAGTTATTTTATAATTTTCAAACTTCAGATTCCTGCCCAGAACACAAAATAAAATCTGGTTTTATTTCTGAAGAAGAATTGACTTAAACGTATTTTTAAAAGGCTTGAAATATTACTGGTAATTCAATGATGTTGCCTAACGGCAGGCAGTCTTGACTCCACGGACCAAAGAGACAAAGATGTCTTATTACCAACACTTGCAGGGCAAGAGCATTTACTATATGGTATAAAATCAACTGACAGCAGCAACCTTGCTTGTGCTAGTGAACTCCAATGCCTCCTAAGTAATACTACATTCATGTGTATTAAGTTTGAGGACTTTGTGTACCTGCAGAGAAAAGGAAGTAACCGGGAAGTCATGCCCTAAACACTTCTGCTGCATGTTTCTGAACAGCTTTTGACATTTATGCTCTCAACTCACCTCTAAACCCAATTTAGTAAATAAACTCATTCATTTTTATGATGAATTGAGGCAAAACTGTTAACATGCAATGTAAGTTTAGAGAGATTTCTTGAACACGTTTGAATAGAGGGGATTTGATTTTCTCAACAGCAAGATGAAAAGACAGAAGATGTAAAAATATTTAAGTTAATACCACTACAACTCCAGGTGCTAGACTGATTGAGGTGACCCAAGTTAGTACTTGGTAAAATTTCAAAAGCAAGAAGAGAAGGCCCCTGTACTGATAAAGCCAATACTGTCACACTTTAAATCTATCTCCCAATACACACTGAAATGCAGCAGGCACTTCAGATACATCAGAGTCTCTCCAAGATTCTTTTCCAGTACATTTACCTCTGCCAAGCCCTCCCCTTCCCCCAACACACAAAAATCCATTACTAAAGGGTCTAATCTCAGCTATC